TCCGGTGTAGTTCATTAATCATTTGCATTAGAACGATTGAAAAAAAGTGACAATGTAATTTTGTTGACCTACCCATCATATGACGTAGAGCAATAACGAAGATGGGCGAGTTGCTTCTAGCTTGTCAAGACAGAAAATTTCCAGGAAAAATAGAGAGAAATCTTTGGGCATATTAGTTGCAATGAGATTATTATATAACTTGTTTCTAAAGTATCTATAGGCTCCTAGAAACTACCTAACTAATATAAAAAGGAAACAAGATCCGCTGTAAATAATACAAATAGGAAAAGATAAGGCAGGATATTCTTAGAACCGAAATAAGAAAAAACAAGTAAAATTGCTGTACATTGTGAAATTGTTAAATCTTTTATACTACTGCCAAGTAAACTATTTTAATCCATACAAGAATTTTTTTTTTTTTTTTGAGGACAAACATGATCTTCTCTTTCTTCGATAGGAAAAACTTTCTAGTAGAGACATTTTTTCTCTAACCCGCACACAAAAAAGCCATCTTTGGATCAAGTTGTTCTAACTACAGCATACATCGCAATAATTGCAAGAGTAACAGGAACAGAACTATTGTTTTACCACAAGTGAGAACAGTTCATGGAAGTTAATGCCTCTCTCTATGTAAAACCCTTTGTAACTAGCCTTGCCTTAATGTTATTTATCTTCCCCACTAGGATTGCATTCAAGGTTTCTCCAGTAGAAAGGGAAGATGTCAGGACCCAGAAGGACATCTGAGGCTAGGTGTATTACTTCTGTTTACAAGGCTTTCAGCTTTCTGTTGGTAATTTGGTTGTAGAAGAATATGCAATACAAAGGACTACTGAAATGCCTGGGGCATTGCTGGGGCGACAGGGGCGTTGTTGGGGGAGACTTCAACATGGTACTGAAATGTTCTGAGAGGTCTGGCGGTTTTACCAATCCAGAAGATATTGAAGATTTCAGCACACTCATAGACAGCCTTGACCTTAACAATCTTCCGTTAATGGGGGAAAAATGGACCTAGAGCAATCTAAGGGAACACTCCTCTTCCTCAAGAATTGACAGGTTTCTCATCACTACAAACCTTCTCTCGGTGCTCCCTAATTTAAATCAGAAAATTCTGTCCAGACCAACCTCAGATCATTTCCCCATTCTGTTGGCTTCGGATGGGATTCAATGGGGCCCCATCCCTTTCCGGATCAACAATAAATGGCTGGTGCTGGATAGTTTTAGGAAACTTGTTGCAGATACATGGAGCAATTTGATTATTAAGGGCACTATCAGTTATAGAATCGACACAAAATTCAAAATACTCAAAGCTGTAATCACAACTTGGGCTAAGGAGACTGGAGGAAAGAGGAAGAAGGCATCAATGATATTCTTTTGGAAATAGATGACCTGGACAGAAAAGAGGAACATTTTGCTGCTTTCCATCGATGAAGAGAAAAAAGGAAAAGTCTGAAACTTATGCGGTCCCTAAGCTTCACGTGGAAGCCATATCTTGAAACAAAAAACTAGAGAAAAATGGATTAAGGATGGGGACAGGAACTCAAAATATTTCCACATGTTTGCTAATCACAGAAGAAGAATCAACTTTGTGGAAGAGCTCACCATTGGAAACAACAAAATTAAAGATAATGAGGCCCTCAGGGAAGGAACAAAAATCCACTTCCAGAATTTGTACACTGAACAGCATGATCACAGACCGAAATTGGATATTCTATCTTTTAACATCATTTCTAATCAAGACAAGGAGCACTTGAGGAAAAATTTACCGAGAAAGAAATTTTGGAATGCCTTCGGGAATATGACCGGGATAAAACCCCCGGTCCGGATGGTTTCAACTTCAAATTCCTCCAAACTTTCTGGGATACAATAAAAGGTGACATTATTGAATTTTTTAATGACTTTCACAATCATAGCACTTTTGTAAGATCTCTCAATTCCACATTTTTTGTTATGATTCCGAAAAGAGTCAACCCGGAGAACATTAATGACTTCAGGCCTATTAGTTTCACTGGGTGTATCTACAAACTGTTATCTAAAGTTCTTGCAAAAAGACTCTCTAAAGTGCTTAACAAAATTATTAGTGACTGCCAACATACTTTTGTTTATGGGCGACAAATATCCAATGCCATTTTAATTGCTAATGAGACTATTGATGAGGCCACAAGACACAACAAGAAAGGTATTCTTTGCAAGCTTGACATGGAAAAAGCATTTGATCATGTTAACTGGGATTTTATTGAGTACATGTTTCAACGAATGGGTTTTAGATAGAAATGGAGAAACTGGATCAGATTTTGAATCACAAGTTCCAGTTTTGCGGTTATGGTTAATGGCGGACCTTCCTCATTTTTTACTGCTTCCAGAGGTTTGAGGCAAGGGGACCCACTGTCCCCTCTTCTCTTCATCATTGTTATGGAGGTCTTACATAAACTTATTGAGAAAGTAAAGTAACTGCATATGCTTAAAGGTATTACTGTCGGCAACAGAAACAAAATGATTGAGATATCTCACTTATTTTTCACTGATGACACCATTATCTTCTGTCAACCAGAGTTTCGCTCACTTATTTTTCTGATATGCATTTTATCTTGTTTTCAAGCTGTATCTGGATTAAAAATCAAATCAACCTACATAAGTCTGAATTGGTTATTTTGAGTGCTGGGGATAATGATGTTAGTTCCCTTAATACTACTCCTAGCTGCAGAATCTCATATTTGCCTATCACCTATCTTGAAGTACCACCGGGAGCAAAACATAATGACAGTAAGATTTGGGACCCTGTTGTAGATATGGTTCAAAACAGATTGGCCACTTGGAAAAAGAAATTTTTATCTAAAAGGGCTCGGTTTACTCTCATCAAAAGCACTCTCTCCAACTTGCCTATCTACAATCTTTCGGTGCTCAATATCCCATCCAAGGTGGCAAAAAGGCTGGAAACAATTCAATGCAACTTCTTATGGGAAGATGTGGATAATGAACGGAAAAAATATCACCTTGTCAGCTGGAATGAAGTCAAAAAACCGGTTAGTGATGGCGGTTTGGGTTTGAGATCCCTTGTTAACTTAAACAAAGCACTCCTTGGAAAATGGATATGTAGATATTAGAATGACAAAGAAAGTTTCTGGAAAAAGGTTATTGATTGTAAATGGTTCGCTAGTGATCAAAGGAACCTTTCACCCATTATAAAACACAACTATGGCAGAAGTCTATGGAGGAACATCATGAACATCAGCCCAATGTTTCCTTGACTGCACTGAATGGATTATCGGTAAAGGCAACAAAATTCAATTTTGGAATGACACCTGGTGCGGAACAACGACTCTCAAAGATAGATTCCCCCAGTTTATGCCATCTCTAGCTTCAAAAATGCTCTCGTTGGTGATGTTATCACTCCAGATAATCTTAAACACATGGAACATTACTATAATGAGAAACCTACAGGATTGGGAAACTAAAAAATATGAAGCCTTACTTCTATGTTTATTGTACATTCAGATTAACAATCATGAAGACAAACTGCACTGGAAACACAAAACCAGTGGCAATTTCACTGTTAGCTCTTTCTATGATTTCCTGGATTAACAGTAATCAATCGATCCCAACTAAAATCATTTGGAAATATGGAGTCCCACCCAGAATCTCTTTTTTCGCATGGGAAGCTGCTAGAGAGAAAATTCTCACCTTGGATAATCTTATGAAAAGAGGAATTCCCATTGCAAACAGATGCTACCTTTGTAAAATGGGACTAGAATCGTGTAATCATCTTCTTCTTTGGTGCCCTTTCTCTCACAAACTTTGGGTGATGCTTCTTGGCCTATTGGGACTTTCTTGGGTCATGATAAACACAGTTTCTAGGGAACTACTTGCTTGGGAAGGTCTTACCAAAAGAAACAAGCTCTTTAAACTCATCCCACTCATAATATTGTAGGTCATTTGGAAGGAAAGAAACAAGCGTGCTTTTGACAAGAAAGAATTAGAATTCAATATTTTAAAAGATAATTGGTTTCACCATTTTGACTCTACCATACTTGAGCATGATATTGATAGTAATGTTGATTTTGCTTCTATTGTAAATATACTTATCGATATGTAAACTTTGTACATGGACGGTGCTCCCCTGGCACCTCTCATCAATACAATCTCTATACTTTTCTTTCAAAAAAAAAGGGACTACTGAAATGCCAGTTGTTACTATAACTGGTAACTAGTTTTTAGTTTACATTTTGCCAATGATTGGCTGGGTATTACTAATATTATACGGTATTATTAATATTACACAAAGGTGATTGTAGAAGCAGCTAGCAATTCAGTGAAAATTTTCCTTAATTCCTATCCACTCAAGATCTCTTCTTCTCCCACCTCTTCCTCTGTTAATCTCCCTAATCTGCCTCTTTAACCCTAAAGTTCCTCAAAAAAACTAAATTAAAATCTGTTCCTTGGGGCTGTTAATGAATCAGGTGTTGCCATGTAGCTTCTCTTAGGATTTATCGCATCAACACAAGGTGTTTTTTGCTGATACAGAAAAGGTTAGAGCTATCAGAGGATGGTCTCAACAAATCAATTTTTGAGGTACATAGCTTCCACAGGTTAGCCACATTTGGTACAAATGTGTTAAGGGATTGAATTAATTGTCATGCCCATAAAGGGAGAAATTAAATGGATCTTGCAACTTCTGGAACCTTTTAAGATACAAAGTAGAAACTGAGTGAGGCTCCTGTCCTATGAAATCCTAAGTTTGCAAGTGTCTTTAGAGGTTACTTGTCATGCTTCCAGAGTAGGAACACGAAGGATCTTCTCATCAACCGACTCCATCTTCATTTCCTGCAAACATTCCAGATCAGGGACCCATCTAGATAAACAGCCCTTGATGATCTGCCTTTTCTTCCTATCATTTATCTGCCTAATGTGCCACGATATAATTTTGTCAAACATTGGCAAAACTCATTCATTCTCCCCACACCCTCCGCTCTTCCTCTCCCTTTTTGATATGGAATCATAACTAATTGTGGACTGTAGTCTATTGAGCTCCCTGCTTCCATCTCCCTATTTCCGCCTCTCCTTGCTAATGGACTCTTCCCCCATCTTCTTCACCATCTTTCTCCTTTTGGTTTCAACAAAAAGATCCTGTAGCTGGTCATTCAACCCATCAAAAGGAACACCCAGAATTTTACTAATTTTCTGAATGCTTTTTAGAGTCCAGTCCGAGTAGCAGCACTGCCCCTCTTTCCTCGCAGCCACCATTTCCTGATCCGCAATAGACAGTGACTCCATCTTTTCGCCAACCAGGCATACTTCCAAGACCTCTTCTTCTTCGAAAGCAACAATCGCTAGAGTCCTCATACTCGTTCTCCTTCTCAGCCTTTGATACAACTCCCTCTCCTTCTTCCAGAACAGAAAAGCTAACTTCTTTTCCCACCCCGATGTCTTCTTCTCCCTCCACTTCCTGACAAGCCGCAAGGACCAGCACTGTCCTCATGTCAACAAACTCGTTCTTGGTCAGCCCATGGTTTCCAAAATCGTCTCCTCCTTCTGCTTCTCTAACATGCAAAACCCCAGTCTCACCCGACTCGGATCCCTTCGCGGAATTCAATTGACTCTGGTCTTCCACTCGGGTCAGGGCAGACTTGGGCCTCCAGACACGCACAGAATTCGTATCCCAATTGCTAGTCCAACTCGGCCCAGCAGAAAGAGCACACCCGAAATCGTAATCGTCTGGTTTGAAAATATACTGGTTTGAAGTTAGCTAAACTCAATGAGTCGAATCAAATATGATCAAAGAAGTTTGGACTGGTCAATAGAGAGCTTTAGAATACCAAAATCTACACGTAATGGTCATTGTTGGCGGTCACGCGTTGGCTTCTGGAGACCCAGTAGCTTTGGTTTTCTGGTGGCAAACTTCACTGGAGGAGCTAGTCTCGAATCTGGGTCCAATGTTACCTGTCATGGACAAGGAGGAGATCACATGATATGCTGGAGGCAACATTGACCACCTACAGGCAGTGGCCGTGAACAAGCTGACCTACTCTTCTACTTTAGGGTTCTTTTCCCACTGTTTTATGAAGAAGAAAAGAGAATGTATATATGCAAGGAATAGAGGGTGTATTTTGGGAAGTGATCTGTTGAGTACTTAGGAAAACGTGATGAATCAAATTTAACGCTCTAATATCAACTGATGCATAAAAAAGAGCTCAAAGATAAAACTTTTTAAGAACAAAAATAATCATAAATAGTTAAAGCAATGTCTTAATACTTGGATAATAAAATCATAAATAGTTTACCTAATAACTAAACTAAGTACCTTATTTTTTTTTGAGATAAAAGTAAACAATAAAATTAAAGAGACACCAAGGGGGCGTAACCCATGTACAAAAACGGATTTACAGATCTGTGAGAATGTTTACAATAGAACCAAAATCGTCAAAAGAAACAAGGTTATGGCCAAGAACAATGGAGCCAAAAAAATGCAGCAACTTATCCTTGATAGAAGTAAGTACCTTATTTTTAGGCACCAAATACATTAAAATAGAAAATCTAGAAAACCTAATAAATACAAAAATAAGTTAAACAGAAAAAAATTTGAGAAATAGTAAATCTAGAACATAATAAAACAAATCTTCATATTTTCCTGTACTGTAAAATTTTTCAAAACTTAAAAAGTAAATTAAGTCTTCCTATTCTATTTAATTAACTCCTAAACATTATGTTCCTTTATTTATTTTAGCTCTTATATTCTATTATTGAAATATGTCCACTTTTAGCAGCTTCCCATTCTGCATCAAGCAGCCCTACCTAACTTTTTTCTGCAACCAAGCTAAGTCGCAAGCATGGACTCCAACACAGTTGTTCCTCCTTTCTTCATGATCTTTATCTGCAATCACATTTGATACAACCAACATTCTGCAGTAATGTCCCACTTCACTTGTTGTCTATTTAGTATCCTTCATATTTCTAAATTGCTTACCAAGGGCCTTCATCCCTTTATCTCTGTCACTAGGATACTTGTGCTTGCCTATGCTATCAACTGCATCAGCTTACTTTTGCTCATATTACCATGCAATGCAGAATGGTCATTTATATGTGCCAGTTACTAACTAACTGCCGATGCCAATTAACAGAAAGAAATCTCTGGAAGTATCTTTAATGATGAAATGATTACAATAAACTGATTCTTTTATAGGCTCCCTTAAACTAAAAACAAACTCATCTTAATACAGAAAAGAAACAAAGACCTATTTACTCCAAACAACAATTGGGAAAAAAACAGGATATCTTTATCACTAAAGCACAAAAGTAACACTGCATTAACAGAGGAAAACCTAGGCTTGGCAACTATTAAGTATAGGAAAATCTATACACTTGCGTCCAAGTTTTGATCCCCTAAATGCTCCCTAAAATCCTGCAGATTCTGCTTTGCATCATTAAATCGATCCCATGTGCCCTAAGTCATTTAAGATTAACGGGTATAATGTTAAAAAAGTGACCTATTTGAAAATTAGTATTGAAAGTAATTGTCTCATGGAAACTATCGAACGGTAAAGCGATGACACTAAATGTAGAGAGTGGCAATTGTAAGTTGTCCTAACAAAAAACAATTTTCAAGCAAAAAATTTTCATCATTGAAATTTTCACGATCTATATTTACAAACATTAGCCATGCAAAAAATTTGTAAACTTGCAATTATAGCTTAATGTAAGTAAAGATTTATTCAGTTTTAAGTACCTTTATATATTGCGCTCCAGTTCCAATCTTCTCATAACTTTGAGGATGGAAGTACAAAGCCATCATCAAGATTTTCTTCTCCCCTTCATTTAAGCGGTGATCAATGGGATACCTGTTTGAATGAGCAATAACAAGTTACAGGACCAACATTAATAAGAACCACAGGCAGGATAAGAAAAATAAGCCAAAATATTGGTGAAAAAAAAGAACTGCATAGTGCAGCTGGAGACATGTGGACTATATAATGGCATCATTTACATCCCTTTTCCTGAAAAACTCGACATCCCTATCAGCAACAATGATCAATACCCCAACTACCAAAATACCATGCTTCAATCACTTATCCTCCATCATATACAATAATATAATTTTCCAGTCAATATCAAATCATGCATGTCAGAACAGCCAATTCAAAGATTACACGTCAACCCTATATCCTGTCCAATTCTTAATCTTCAGCAAACTACTAAAGCATGCCAACAAAAACAAAGACTTCCTTGTCTTCCATTAATATCTTGATTGTCATATATACAAGCCTATCAATATTTGACAAAAGAATTAACAGAACATCACAATTCATCACAATGATCAGATGAGAATACTTACTTGTTCAGTATTTTCTTTGATGCATGATAGAGCTTTTGAATATCTTTCCACGTTAAGACAGTTCTCAAATATGCTCTTGATATGCCTTCTAATTTCTTTAATCCTAAAGAAATAGACCCACTGTGCACATAGATTGATCGATCACCATATTTGTCTGACTTGATGTTCATAGAATTGGGTAAGTCACTCTTTACATTCTGCTTCAAAGGAGTGACTATGCTATTCAACAGGTCATAAACATCTACTGGCTGATAAAGCTCATTGTCCTGATCAATAGATGATAGAACTTATGTATTAGATTATTGAAAGAGAATGATGCAAAATGAGTTAGCACTAGATTTCTCAAATAAATTAGAATTGTAATTACTAAATGTCAAACAACTATACTTATTTAGGAGTCTATTATTATATTATTTAAAAATATTATTATAGTTTTAGTAATTTAGGATTCTATTCTTATTAGAGTTAGGAGTTTATTTTCATTAGTATTATTTTCTATTTGTATTAGAATTAATATTCTTACTTCTACTAGACAGCAGTGAAGGGCAGAACGACAGCGGCGAAGGGCAGAAGCCGTGGTTGTAACGGTAACATCGGGGAACAGTGTGGGGCGAAGCCCAGGGAGGCAGTGCTTTCTTTTTTGGCATGTGGTGAAGGTTGGTGTAGAGGAAACAAATCATATTTGGTGTCGGGGTTCTGTTTTTCAGAAGTTTGTTACTAGCAGGTGGCAAAGGTCTGTGAACTTTTACTGAATGGAATGGGGGAGTCCAGGGAGGCAGAACTTCTTGTTGATAGACAACAAATCATTCGACATAGTTAGTGAAGGCAGAAGGGATGAAAGTCTGCGATTAAGTGAAAACAGCAGAGGCTTTAGGGTGTTAATAACTTACTGGGAGGAGGATGTTGAATGGCTTGTGGATGTTCTGAGGGAGTCTATTGGAAGCATATCGGGAGGTCCTGGCGGCTAGACATAAAGGGTAGGTATCATGAATTGTGGGTTGCATTTGGAAGGAATAGAGGAGGACGATTTCCGGTTTTTCAAGAGAAGGTAGGGAAGGAAATTAACTGTATTTCCTTGCCAGAAGGAAGGGAAGCAGCTGGCTGGTGGCGGACAATGAAGGCAGTGGCAGAGGCTGTAGAGAAACAGTGGAAACCACCACAAAACAGAAGAGAGGCCAACATGGATAGGCAGAAGACAATGAAGATACCCACAGAGGAAGTAGATACTCAAAATCACCTGTGTTGCCCTAGATGCTACACAAAAATCAGGTTGCGCTGGAGGAGGCAAAGGAGAGCTATGAAGAAGCAGTGAGACGGAACCCTAGAATGCCCAACTGGGTGAGGAAGAAGGAACCTGAAAGAGAAGCGGGTACGATGGCTCAAAATTTTGAATTTGAAAATTCGAAATTTCAAAATTCAATCAGGGAGCAAAACGACAGCGAAGGGAAGCGTTAAGAAGGAACCAAAACACGGGTTTTGTAGGTCGTTTTTGGCAATTTTATAATAACAGCAGTCCGGTTTTTAATAGGCCCAATAGACAGGTCCAGGGTCAAAGAACAGGAAGATGGGATGTTAACAGAATGAAGGGGCAGTGGGCTAGTTTTAATAGGCGGACCAGACAAACAGATCAGGCAGTGTGGAGGCCTGCAACCAGGACCGCAGGAAGAAACCAGAATCCAGAAGTGTCCAGAGAGAGGGAAACGAAAGGAGAAGGCAGAGAAGGGAACTGGGATTTGGAAAAACCGATATGTCCGGCCACCGAACAGGTTACCACGCACAGTGATTGGAATCTAAGTACTGAAAGCTGTCAAGGGGGCACTGAAAGTGGTTATGTGTTTGGTTCCCGGTGGGTTTATGGAGAAGGAGATGGTGGTTAGTTGGTGTTTGGCATTGATACAAGTGGATGAAAAAAGAAAGAGAAGGGAGGGAAGGTGATGAAGTGGTTATGTGTTTAGTTCCCTGAAAGCTGTCAAGGGTTACGAATGCCCAGTGAAGAATAACTTACATGTTCGACTAAAAGAAAAGGTGTGAGAGAGAGATGATGGTTATGACTCCTATGAGAATGATGATTTTAATTCCTAGTGAACAAGTAAACACCTCTCTTTTATTAAAGTGTATATCATCATATTCCAAAGTGGAACAACAAGAAGAATCACTATATCTTCCTATTGCTAAGAGTCAACTAAAAAGATGGGCAAGAAGAATCACGTCTTCTTATTGCTCAATATCTTTCCCCAAGAGAATGCTATGAAAGTTCCATGCTATAAGAGATTTGACATACCAAGTGGTCAACATGTTGGTCCATCCTACAAAGACTTTAACACTCCTAAACAATTGTGTTCTTATATTATTTAAGATATTGAGGAGGATAACCAAACACAAAGGTCGTTATATTTGTATGGGAAAGTTCGAATAATAAGATTTTACATCATTTGCCACTTCAAGACTCAGGGACGATTTTTCTCCAATTAAGGAAGAATGATACAAAATGGGTTAGCACTAGATTGATTAAATGAATTAGAAACTGTAATTATATTAAATGTAAAACAAATATACTATTTAGAGCTTATTATTATATTATTTAGGATTATTATTATAATTTTAGTAACTTAGGAATTCTTATTAGAATTATAAATTTATTTTTATTGGTACTATTATCTATATGTATTAGGATTAGTGTTCTTAATTTTATTAGATTACTATTTCCTAAGTTAATTCTTAGTAGGAAAAATTACTTAAAGATTATTATAAATAGTTCTGTAATTTCACTCATTATT